CCTCCCTACCCCTCCCCCCCCCCAAAAAAAAATACAAGTACAAAAAGTGCAAAAATCTTGAGTTTTACCTTAAAAGTATCTTTTTCTTAGGACGACTTATATCTAGAGGTCGTTCTTTCCTCTCTAAGATCATTCCTGCTGTAAGAAGGGATGCAGGTTTCCCTTGTGAAAGCATGTGGTTGCTCTGTTTGGGTGTGTGTGCCAGTCTTCCTTCTCTCTGGAGTATGTCTCCGACAAAATTCAGAGCGTCATTTCCGCTCCTAAATTCTTTGTTTAGCCAGCGCTATCTATAGGCAGGGAGATAAAGGTGGAAACTTTGAATAAGACTGGAGAAATAGTCCTAATTTCAGGAAGGTCCAAGCTGAACAGGAAGGGAGCAGGTGGGCAGGATGCACTGGGGCAAACACATTGTGTAATGCAGGAGCCTGTGTACACACAACAGTGGTATCTTTCTTACAAGTTTGTCTGATTGATGCTACACTTCTCATTAATCATCAATCATACCAGTGTTATCTCAACCTGGGAATTTCTGTGGCTTGTCTCCGCCCCAGCTTAAAATTGGACTTGATGAGCAGCTTCTGGAAAGTGGGGAAAAAAGTACGTCATGACCCGCCACTGTTTTCATTTACAGCTGATTTACTGGGCCTTTTCTTGGTATTTTCACTAGATCTTCATATACTTTGATGGATTGTTAACAAAAAAACCCATTTATCAGATTGTGTTTCCATCATAAATGTATTTCAAGGATACGTCTCCCACTTCTATGTAAAAACTAATAATAAATCAGGCAGTTAAGCAAATACCAGGTTAGCTCAGTGGTCACAGAAGAGAAAGACAGAGCCAAGAAAAGGAAGGCAGGGTAATACCATGGCAATTGAAACACTTTTTTGGTTTCATTCAGATATTTTTAGCTAATGGTGATTTTTCATTTATGTGAGTTGATGTGTTGTGTCAGTGCTAGAAGCTGCCAGTGTCGATGTCAATTGACATTGAATGCATTCCAGGGACTGCTGGATAAAATGATGTTAAGGAAACGTAAGGAATGCTTCAGCAGCTCTCCTTATTAGTAGTAATAAAATCTAGATTAAAAATTGCAGCCCCAATTAAATCAAGGTTTAATTAGCCTTGCAGTAGTCCAGAGCCTTTTCTTTATTTCCACAGTTATCTTCCTGCTGTTTCAGACACACCACTCAGGTTGACACATCTGTTACGTTCCTTCCTTTGGTGCAGGCATTCCCAGGAGAGGTGGTCTAAATACGTTCAAAGAAAGTGATAAATTGTTTCCAATCTCCCATTAGCTTGAAGTGGATTTTTTTTTAATCTATATGGCCATTTAGTCCCTGATCTAAATCCCCCTGAAATCATCAGGGGGAGGGGGAAACAATGGAAACAAGGAGTAAATCAAGCCTATGGGTTGTACTCATGGCTTAAATATGTAAAGTCACTATCTTCATACACATTTGGGCTTTCATTGTGGTCTTGTTTTCTGTGAGCTGTGCATGCTTTATGGACTGGCAGTGTGATGCAATGGACCTGTAGAATGTCAGCAACCTGAGACGTTTGTAGGTGCGAGCAGGACATGCCCTTTACAAGGTGTTTATGAATCTTCCAGTGTGCAAGACAGCAGCTGCTCTAGCAGTGTGAAGTTATGCAAAATGTGGGTAAAATCAGGGCAGAAAACCTTCTCCTGTCTCCCCCAGGGCATGCAGAGCTCAGGTACCTTGGGCTGAAAAGGTTTTCTTCCATGAAGTTTTATTTGCACACTGAGGAGCCTCAGCTGGGTATGTATTCCACACTGTCCCTTCTTGGAGCAAGGAAGTCTGGGAGCAGTGATACAAGCTCTTGTTTTCTTTTCTTTTTTTTTTTTTTTTTTCCCAAAAAGAAATAGCACTAGATGCACAAAAAGATCCTGTTCCTTGCAGGATAAATGAAGGTAGCCCTGAGACTTCCATAATTTATATGCTTCCCTCTTATTTGTTGTCGCTGGGGAAAATAACAGTGTGCTTGCTCACTGTCCAGAGATCTACTGTGCCGAAGCAAATAATTGCAGCATATGGCAAGCAGAGAAGGCACCATGGTGTTTGATGGATGAATGTTCCTCCCCCAAGCAGAGAGGGATGTTTGTGAGAAGCTGGTAATATACTGTGGTTGAAATGGCCCATTCACTGTATGGAATTCCTGATGAAGTTGCCCAGCAGAAACTTAAACAGCTGGTGTAGGAACAGAAATCACTGTAGATAAGTCAGGTTGAAATCTAAATGATTGGGCCCTGATCAGGCCATGTTACCACGCTGTCTTGATGAAGGCAGGGAAGATTTCGTTGTGGGATGACTAAAATTTCCCCCAGCTCCTTTCCTCTTACAGCTGCCTCAGTTCATCTGAAAGAAGATGTTTGGCATGTCATGCTACTGTTGAGCTTTGGTATTGCACTAGTGTTTCAAAGTCCTTTATCCTTGATCAGAGCAAGATGCTGCTCAAACAGGTCCTAGAGAGCTGGTGCTGCAGGATGGTAATAAGCTGGATGGAGGGATGGAGAGCTGGAACATCAATGTGGATGAGCATGGCTGCTGAAGAGCTCTCCAGAAGTGAGAGCAGTTACAGCTAGCTCTGAGGGCAGAGACTGGTTCCTGGGCTGTAATTACAAAGGCTGGTGTTTTAATTGCTGCTACTTGCTTCAGAGGTGTGTTCAGCATTAAGAAGGTGCTTTGCAATAGCAGCATTTAACTTCTTTCTGTCATCTGCTTTCTTTTAAATTGATCTAGGCTGGGATTTACCAGAGGAAGCTTCCTGAGCTGTGTAAATCCCTTGAAATGATGTGAGCATTGGAGGAGGAGGAGGAGATTTCTCCTGGAGAAATCTCCTGGAGGAGATTTCATGTTCCCCCTAAACCAGGGTAATTGAGTCCAATTCAAGTCCAGAAGCATAGATTGCATACAATTAGATGTTCAAAATTACAGCTCTAGTATGCAGGTATAGACAAAATGGCTGGGACAGTGCTTCTCAAAAAGTACTTGGCTCATCCCTTTGTTAGGGATAATATTAAAATCGATGAAAATATTGCCAGTCTTGGAGATCCTGAAGTTGTTAGAATTTGTGAAGTTCTACTTAAAAATAGAAACTTGAAGGAAGGGGGATAAGGAGCTTTCTTTAGTGTTAATTTTAAAAAATTCTATCTTATGTTCCATGCACACTTCCAAGCTTTTCCTTTTCTCTCTGACCAGAAAAGGTGTTTATTTCAGGTTTTACTAACAAACAAACAAGCATTTTTTCAAAGCAATCCCCTGAGGTCTAAAAGGAAAAAATCCAAACAACTGTGAAATTGATTATGAAACGGCAAACCATAGCAGCCCTAGTTAAAACACAAAATAGAGCCAGCGTCTCTTTACTATCCTCTTTTACGCTCCCAAAACCTTTCAAGTTTATGAATAGTAGCTTTAGTGCCAGAGGAAGCCATTTGCTCTGTAGGAGGACAAAATATATTGGACTTAACTCCAAGATAATACACTGGATGGGTCGTAGCCCTCTCTGTTGACATGTAAACTGTGCGGATACATGCAGATAGGAGCATGGGTACAGATTTGTCCATAGGAGGCACTTACTTGTAGTCTGGAAGCGAGGTAGCCGTGTGTGCCAGGCGGTCCTCCTGGGCTGCTGCACCCCCTTTCTCAGGAGGCGGGCAGAGAAGGTAGCAATGTGCATACCTGGGACTGGTTCTTGGAGCAGCACACTTGCAGGTGTCTTTTATACAGCACAGTGCCGTGCCTTCCTGCTCTTAATATAATTGGCGGACTTTGCTCAGGATAACGCTCTTGCCAATTGATGTGGTGGTAATTAAAGTCACTGTTATACATTAGGTACTCGCTATCGTACGTTATGTACTCTTTGAAGGGAAAAGAGAAAATAGGTAAGGAAATGCCAGCTTTGAAGAAGAGGAGTGGTTGTGCCAATTATCTTGGATGAGCTGTTCAGTGACAGCTAATCCATGTGAGTGAAAACAAGTCCTCTGTGATGCTGTGCCAAGGTCAGGAATTTGAGCTCTATTTGAAGAGTGAAAGTTACAATGTTGCAAATTAAAGCTCCTTTGAAGAAAACATCTTTATTGCATAAATTGAAGCAGAGCTTTTCCAACTCTGTCATCCATATAATCTTCTCCCATTGATGCCCTCAAAAGGACCATGGCAGAGTAGAGCTAAAACCCCCTCATATGAAGCGTTCAGAAGCACAGGTGTGTAACTTGTGGGTTTGTGAAACTTGTCTTAGTGTGGGTATGTTCAGAAGCACAGGTGTGTAACACTGGGTTTGTGAAACTTGTCTTAGTGTGGGTATGTCCATGTGCATGTGTACGCACACAGGCTGCCAGAGGAGATGAAGCAATGCGTGCACTTGATTCTGTGGGAGAGCAACTACTGCAAAAATACATTAGTCTTTGCCATCCGTGATTACAACAGAACTGTACTGATTTATACCACCTGGATCTCCTGCTCAGTGTGCTGCTATGTTTTTCCCAGGTGGGAAATGGTCACATTCAGAAAGGTGACTTACTTTATTTTGTCCATGTTTTCTCATTTTGCAAGTAGGATTGAGCCAGCACTTACTATGTTAAGATTGAGCTACATTTGCAATACCCCAGACTACCAGCTACTAGAATTGTATCTGGTTTATCCATATGAATCACTCTATTGTGCAGAACAAGGTCATTTTCCTTTCTGCCTTCTGTCTATCTAACCAGAAGCTCTGTCGTAGACATTTTGTTCACTATCTGTGAAATAGTTTTCAGTTCACTTCATATTTGGGTTATATATGTCTGTCCATATCCTCCTGCCCCCCTCTCTCCTTGTTATTGGCAGATATATTATATAGGCTAGCCAGAAATTGACATTTCATTTTAGTCTCTGAAAAATAATGATATAAATTCCATGATAGACTACAGTTTGTAAGACATGTGACCTGTGATGCTAACCAAGAAGATGCCCCTTTGTCTCCTTATGTTGGCCTCACTATGTATGTGATCACACCCATTTTAGTGTGTACTAGTACTGTGTATTTTAATAGCTATAGCAGAGTACAAATATAGTACTTCCCGTATATAGCTTTTTTCTTTAATATGGTCATTTTGTATGAATAGTACCGTTTTCATGCAGAGGTTGCTATGTGTTGACTTGCCTATACAGATGAGCGTGTAAGGTCCTGGATGTGGAATCTCATTGATTTCATTATACACATACATTGGTGTGATTGAAGGAACAAGACCTCAGTCTATAAAAGGCTACTGTGTAGTTTACACTTGCCTCTCCTGCCAAGTGTGTGTATAGAAGGGAATTGATGGCCTTAAACATAACTACCTCCAAGCATTAAGGGTTTGTTCGTTGCAAAGAACAAGTTAGATAGGTTGGTCCTTCAAATATGAAGTGTTGCTGGAGCTCAGCATCATCAGTACTTCTAGTGCAGTGTGAAAACAAACATTGAGGCCCTGAATTCTTTTGCAAAACAGGATTGCTATGTCCCAGGCAGCTCTGCTGGCGGGTGCCTCTACCAGCCCCAGGGTCACCCGCCCTTTGCAGCGTGGGTGCTCTGGCTGCCAGCTTCTTCTCTCCTCTGCTCTTCCCTGCGCTCTCCAACACAGCCTGATAAATTAGTCCTTCCAACTTAATTTGTTGTGGGAAATAGCTCCCAGCAGCTTGTTTCCTTATTGCCGATCCATCCAGGGAAAGTCACTACCACTTGACTCCTTTCTAACCTAGCCGTAAGTAATTTTTATTTCTCTCTGTCTGGGGCTGCTTTTTTATTTCATGTTGGGGATGATACCCCCTTCTGGCACTGAGGCACTGTAAGCTTAATTGATACGTACTAAATGCCCTGGAAAACCGGAAGGTGCAAAAGGGTGCTGTCAAACAGTAGGATTTTTCAAGTGGAAATACCCCATTGCTCGCATATAGCTGAAGCCAGGCTTTTCCAGAGCGTCTCACTTGCGTGGGCATCTGCCAGTGCTGGAGAGCTGTGAGTACAGACACACCCTGTAATTGCATAAATGCAGAATAAATCTAAAAGGGGCAAAGTCTATTAAGGTTATATTTTGGAAGGTAGGATTGTTGTTAAGGTTTTTGAGGTTTGGAGTTTTTAAAATTGTTTACGAAGAGAAAAGCTGCCATTGCTGTGAGAAAGCTGTGTGAGCACCCCTGGGAGGGGATGAGCCTGGGTAATTCTGGGGATGAGTCTTGGGGCTCCCTTTGCTGCTACTGGATACGAGCACTCATGCCGTGAGAAGCACCGGCGCTGGGTGGCATGCACCAAAGCCAAATAAGCAGAAGGGCAATGCAAATCAGATAAAGCAGGTTCTTGAACAGATTGAGCTTTATGCTTTACTAAATCAGAACATAAATGTCAAATTCCTTTTAAATACCAGGCAGCGCGCAGCTGCATTGAGCTAGCGTAGCTGCTGCGCTCTGCTGGGTGGGAGAGCGGGGTCAAGCTGTTCCCCCCACCAGCCAGAAATATGGTGGTTGTGTTTCTCAAAAGCGATTACTGCGTTTCCCCCCAGCTTGAGGTGACGGGTCACCCCCTTAGCGTGGTGAAGAATGTGTCCACTCAGCGCTGGGGGAAATCCTGGAATAGTCCAGAAGCGCCAAGCACGCAGACACAATGCCGGCATTGGCAAACTGGCGTGAGTAGCTTCGCAGCGCTGTGATGTGGGCTGCAAATTGCGAGGCTGATTCCTTACAAAGACACAGATCCATCACTTTGAAATGTCAGGCCTTTGTCACCCAAAATAGGCTTTTGTCTTCTTTTTCCATGTGTGATACATGGATTTTTTTCATTTTTCTTTTTTTGCTTTGTGTCATACAGTATAATTGGAAAAGACTCTGGGCGGTTCACACGGAGAAGCTTATCTGGGGAAAAAGGCTCCTTCCTAGTTGCTGACCAAAGGTGCACAGGCATGGTTGAGATGTGGTCGAGGCAGGCAACCAAGAGGCAGCTCTTGGGACTCCCAGTACAGTGTTAGGATGCGCTCTCCTCTCTGCCCATTGCAATGTTGTGTATGTAAGGTCTAGGAGAGCCACTACTGAGCAGTTATGTCTGAAGCCCAAAAACCTAAATTCCCCTTTTTACCGGCTTGTGTTGTGGGCCAGGCTGTCACATTTGCATTTTCAATGACTGGATTGTGAGAGTGGGCTCTTTCCTTCCAGTTTATTTGCACAAATCAGGCACGTATGGGTCCTGTGTGAAAACGTATGCAGTGTTAGCAAGAGGGAGATGTGATCACCCTCAAGATCTCAGCTGTGGTGATTTTGAGTCTTGATTAGACGAGGTGTGTGGTCCATGTGTGAGTTACAAGTCTCAGAAAGGAAAGAAAAACCAAGTCTCTATTTTTACATACATGCTTGTACCATCAGAATTGCAGCACGTACCAATATGTAGTACATATTTAAGGTCTTGTTGAGTTTTGAGGTTGTGGGCTGTGCTGTGCATGGTGCAATGGGAGGGGATTCAGGGTGTTGCCAGTAGCATTTTTGTTCTGATAAAGATTGTGCTTTGCAGATAGTCTCTGCTTGTGGAGTAATCTCCACTTCCTGTACTCTATTTCATGTTGTGGAGCAGTCCTGGAGTATGCAAACTAGATTACCTTCAGGGGAAACTAAGTTGTGGTCCAACTGCTTATGATAGCCAGAAGAGATAGCCCAGAGTAAAACCTGTCCTGTAACTTGATTCCCCAATCTGGATTCATCTGCCGTCTCGGTAATTACAGTTCATGAGTTTGGATCTTCGTGTTTGCGAAATACATCAGCCTGTGAGCAGTCTTGGAGAAATCAGCTTGATGTTAAAGTCATTGGCCCATGTGCTGTGTGGGAGCCTAGAGGAGACAGGTTGTCTGAGGGCCTTTCACAGGTGTGGTGGAAGATTAATAGGGTTAAAGTATTGTGGGTTACCACATTGCTCCTAAGTTTGGGCCCAGCAGCGTGGGACATATTTTTAATGTGGTCACTGGTGTTGTTGAATTCTGACCAACAAATGTGAGAGCTCAGTTTCATTCCCATGGGTCTTCTGTGCTCCACGGCGATCTGGAGGGCTTGTAACCTCCTCAAAGCTGGAGTCCAATATTTGTGCTTTTTCTTTTAGCTAACAGCTAAACTTAGAGGAGACAGAACCCTTGTGCTGTTTCAGTGTAATTATTGCTAACAAATACCACACAGGAAACATAGGATACTGAAAATTATCTTGGCAGCAAAGTATATGAAGAGCAGAATCTTGTTTCTAAGTTTAATTTCTAAATAGCTTTTTTCCTTTTAGATTTGGAATTTTTTCAATATAAATTAATTTCAAGTAAGAAAGGGTGGGTTGATGAGGGTTTAGTCTTTTGGTTTTGTTCTTATCTCACCATTCTTCTGCTCTCCTGGGTTAGTTTCATGTGCACAGGTTGCGTCTGTGGAAGGAGGCAAATAAACCCAACCACCTCCACCATCCACTTTTTTTTTTTTTTTTGAGGTTTGAAAATAAATGTTTTTTTCCCCCTTTACTGGGAGGAAGGACATGAGCAGTGTAAAAACCCCACCCCCCCCCCCCATCCCTTTTTTTTTTTTTTTTTGAGGTATGAAAATAAATGTTTTTTTCCCCCTTTACTGGGAGGAAGGACATGAGCAGTGTGTAACTCTCTGAGTGGCAGAGGGAAGTGGATGTGTCACTGGTAATGGCAGGCTATCCAGCAC